TGTATTGTGGACCGTGGGTCAGAGGCCAATTGCCTCCTAAGCCCGGCTTTGGTACAAATGCTCGTATTCATCATACAAACATTTGGCCCACCGGGATTCAAAGCCGGGACCTCTGAATAGGCGACACCTTGAAACCTGATGTACATACCACTCGGCCACGGAGATCGTCAATTACAAGAAGTATATTTCCGAAGTTTCCGCTTCTTCGAGTGATGAAATTCGTTGACAACGTAAATAGATCCTAATTTATAAAAACATAGTTTCAGATTGGGACTATTTAAAAATTAACATATTATATTTGTTTCTTAGGTTTTGACGCACACCACTCATTAAATAAAACAAGTTTCAACGGTATAGATGCACTGATCTATTTGTCTATTGACATTTTTCTCTATATCGTTACTACCATATTATTTTCGTTGTTGTTACAAAGCCGAAACTTGTGTGCAACGAGCGTATGTAACACGATGTGTGTGTTTCAGGCTTAGACTTCAGGTGAGCAGCAAACACCCAGAAGGCCCAAAAAGTTCTTGGCTGCTTCTTCTTTATTTTCTTACAATTACATAGTTGGAAAAGATATTGCTATTTGCATATAGACAATGGTGTCGATTCTGGCGTGATTTTCTAAACTTAAAACTAAATTTAACATTAGTCTGTCCTTTATACTCTGTATAGAGAATGACAAGGATACACTGTTGTCAAATTTAAGTTTAGGTTTAGAGAATCATACCGGCAGCGACACCACTATCTATAGTTTTAAAGGGAAAAGCTTAAAATACAAAGTTGCGAGACAGTAGGCATGGCATTGCATTAAGTGCTGTCCGTTCATTGAGCCTCAGTAATTTTTAACTTAAATGAGTCAGGTACACCACTCGAAATCTCATAGTAGGTTACATATCTGTTTCGATCATATAGTGGTGTACATTCTCTACCTATATTTTCTTTTTTTTACAGTGCTGGAACGAAGATTATGAAATTGATCGTGACTGCCACTGTTGAAGCTTCATTTTCCATATATTGTTTTAAACTTTCATGGTCACTAACATTATAGCTATTAACGGGATTGTTACCATGTACCTTGTTCCTTCAATTTCCACTTAAAATCGTAGTAAATCATACTACGAAAATTTTCCAATGGTCACATAGGCATGCAATATCTAAAATGTAAATATTTTTCTTTTTATTTCAATGACTTTGAAACATTGAACATTGGAAGCTCATCAAACTACACCAAAAAAACCAAACAAACTGCATTTACTGCGATCAATTTATGTTAGGTATCAACAGAGACTAATAATTCCGATGGGCGGGCGGGTAAAGGGTTTTTTATAACTTTCTTTTTTTCTTTTAATTGCAAACAGCTTGCAAACAATTATTTATCACAAAACTGTATTATATTTACCTCCTCCGTACTTTGGCAGGCACGTCAATGCGTAGGTCCCGGCTGCATCTGCAGTCATTAGCACCTACAAATCCACACTGGGCCCTCGTGGTTGATCATGGCCTAATCTCCATATTCCATCCACAGAAAAGGCCCAAACTGAAGATAGGATGATGATGAAAGTAAGAAAAACATTTTTTATGCACTGACAAACTGTAATAATAATGGTGATTTATTTGAATTATGTTACAAATGTGTATTAACAATAGTTTATATTGTTATAATTTCTTAGCAACCGGAAAAGCCTAGAATGGAAACTTGAACAGCAGCGGCACAAAGTACATAACGAGAACTAAAACATCAGTACATATTTGACAATGACATTTCGGACTCGCAAACGATACGAATTCGCTATTGGTTCGTGCTAAGGGTACTGTACTAGGGTGTGAAGTAGTCTTGGGTTAATCTTTCTTCTAATATATAAAATTCTCGTGTCACAATGTTTGTAACAAATTAAACACCTCTGAAACGGCTTGACCGATTCTTATGAAATGTTGTGTGCATATTTAGTAGATCTGAGAATAGGACGTGAACTATCTTTCATATTCCTAAAGTAATGAGATTGGTCCAGCCCAAAAAAATATTTTTAGGGTATTTTTTTCTATTAAATTTTTTTATGATTCGGCATTCAAAAATACATACAACCCTAACTTTTACTACCAACCCCTATTGTTCGTGCTACAAAGTTCGCTGGGTCAGCTAGTAGCATACATAAGTATACTTTTCGCAGTCCGCCATTGAAAAAAGGGTAAAGAATTTTTGCATATAAATACGATTAATGTGCTAAAATACTGAACAGCAGGATAGACGCCTATTAAAAATAATGTAGGTAATTATGGCGCGACCTTTAACACAAGCTTGTGTCATAATTACCCACATCCTAATTTTATAATATTCAATGTCGGAGTCGGACGCCATTCCGTAAATACCCATTTCGCATTTCCGGTACTCAACCTTCACTTCAGTTATAAAAAAACAAAACCTATAATTCATTTAAATTCGGAACTTAGTTCTATTCAAATGTTTTTAAAAATGGTCTATGCTAAAAGTAAAACTTGTTATTATTAATTACATTGCCAATCCAGTTGTGTTATTGAAAACGAAATAAAATTGATATCATACTGCAACAAACTCGAGAAAATGGTCTTCAAAGCAGATAAACTCCACCTCTACGTGCCCAGTGGGGCTAAAGCTATGTTGGGCAGGTCAGGGGGAGATCCTGGGAGACAGTTTCCCCCTTTCTGCGAGAAAGTCATCTAGCGGAAGAACAATGGGAGGAGCGGGTTCGAGAGAAGTCTGCTCTCTCGAACCCATTCCGATACAGACGGCAGGGAGGAAGGAGCCGACTTTTCGCTCTTCTCCTTTCACCCTTATCGAGCTAGCGGGGAAGATTGTTCAAAATGCATCTGCACAGATTCGATTGTCTAGGGGTGATACCTGCATGTGCTCAGGCATCGCCCCGTTCGTGTGGTGATATGTCGCTAGCTATGTCTACTGGGGTGGAGCATGCATGCACAGTGGCGGATTAAACGTTGAGAGCGCCGTAGACAAGCATCTCATCGGCGCCTCTATATAAAAATAACTCATAAGTACTATAGTTTGACCGAAACCGATCCGGTCGATGCGACAAACATTGCAGTCGTATCTTTCCATCTTTAATCAGAGATCAAGTACCATTGACAAAGTTGTTTGTAGGCGTCAGTATTAGTCAGTCCCATCCGTTAAATTTATCTTTTGTTATAAATTGTAGCAAATTGAGGTTGTTAGCAAAAATAATAATTTTAATTATGTAATTAGGTGGCTTACTTACTGGACCAATTTATTTAATGCAATTTTTTTTTCTTTATTTTACAATTCTGCCCGCGCGCCCTTAGGCACGTGCCTAGTTTGCCTTAAGGATAATCCGTCTCTGTGCATGCATGATTCTCAGGAATCACGTCATCTTTCCAGTCAAGGGCATATTCCGGAGTTTTAGTGGATAGGGCAATTGAGCAAGCCTTTTAAGTTGGTTGAGTAGGGGGCAAATACCTCACGCTCATTTTCTTCAATATTGTTATTACCAATTCGGCAAAATAATAAAAAGAGCATCAGGCATTTGAAAACCTTCGGCGGTAAAAATAACAAAATGAAATCGTAAGCGAGAGCGTTAGCCATAGCAATGCTGTTAGGCAAATTGCCCCCATGGAATTTACGCACCAAAATCTGGTAGGTATTTGGTGACGCGGAAATTTGTAGACGGTTCGTCTTTTAGTTCGTCGTTCGGCTAGTATATTAAGTTTACGGTGAGACTAAAGAGATGGCGACCGCGACTCAATTGCAGCCATAAAGTTTTTGTTTAATGGTTATTAAACAAAAACTTTATGGCTGCTTTACTTTTACTGTTAGAGGCACTATTTGACACACTATTTATACATATAGAGTTGATAACGAGAAAAGTTCATTTTCTATGAGAACTATTATGGATACGCCAGGTTGACGCCAGCTAAGAATGTTTAGTTCAATATCTTTGGTACTTTAAGAGTATTGATTATGAAATTTTGTAAAGCCAGGGCACTATTTGCGAACTCTTTTTGTGTGTCAATTTCATTGCTTAAATATATGCCATTCTTGGGGTCGGCCATGGGTACGCTAGCTTGACGTCATGGTAGCGTACACAGTAAAAATGGTCTTTATATCTTAAATTAAAGAGGCACTGGTGTCAATTCTGGCGTGATTCTCTAAACTTAAAACTAAATTTAACATCAGTCTCTCCTTTTCATTCTGTATAGAGAATGACAAGGATATACTGCTGTCAAATTTAAGTTTAGGTTTAGAGAATCATGCTAGAATCGACATCACTGGCGTCGATTCTGGCGTGATTCTCTAAACTTAAAACTAAATTTAACATCAGTCTCTCCTTTTTATTCTGTATAGAGAATGACAAGGATACACTGTTGTCAATTTTAAGTTTAGATTTAGAGAATCGTGCCAGAATCGACACCACTATTTTTTTTATTTTTACACTAATTTGGCACTATTTACGCAGTATTTAATGGCATAACGAAAAACCGTATATTGATCATGGGTACGCTAGCATCATGGACACACTGACAGAGTGAAGAAAAGAGATATCATGCCCATACGACCATCCCACAAGGTAGAAAGAGACGCAACATGATGTACCTTTGTTCCAATAAAGAAAGAGGTAAGAGCCAATTATTTATTTATGACGTATCGCATCCCTTTCAGACTGCGTCGTCAGAATTGTGTTTTGATTTACTTTGTCGAGCTACCTTTGAAAGTATTTAATTGAGCTCAATCAGTGCATCTGTATCGTTGAAACTTGTTTTATTTTACTTTATTGTAGTGTTGACTGCCTCACAGAAGCTTAAAGATAAATCTGACTCGATACAGTTCGTGCCAAACACTCCAAGAAACATAAAAAATGTGTCACAACCACATAGTAATGTAAAAAAAAAGAACATTGTTGTAACACAGGACTAGGCTGTATGGGGATTGTTCTCTTTGCATTCCCTGAAAAGGAAAACGTTAAAACACTGTCAGATCTGTCAGTGGTTGTCAGTGTCAACCACTGTGCTTGTTTTTGTGTTGGTTTTTGTTGGTGGTACTACTTAATTAAATTTTATACAGCATTATCAAGCAAATGTCGACTAAAAAGCTTTGGGGTGAATATGAAAACGATAATAGTGACGATACTATTTTACAAAATGTTAATTTCAACCCCATCATAGAACTCGGCATGCAGAACATACCCGAAATACCAATATCAGTAAAGTCATCGCCCATAGAACTTCCAAAGCCTAATTTGATCACGCATACAATTCAATTACACTCATGTGCCAGGCAATTATCTGCTATATTGGAGCAAACAGAAAATGCAGTCTTTGAAGGTGCGCGATTAGATCCCATGAGCTTACCAATTATACCTCCAGATCCGCCATTGAACATAGAACATGAAGCTACGCCACCAATAAATTTTCTGCCAAAACAATATTGTGATTTTTCTTTAGGTAAGGGGCTAGTAATACAACCTTTTACACCAGAAAGTCATAAACGTGCATTGAAACAGTGTGCTGCTATAGCAATAGGGCATGTAGGCATCGCTACTTGCACTAACACAGCTTTGAATGCTGTTGCTGATGCCCTAGATTTATACATGACAAATATGTGTAAACTATTGAGAACAGTAGTTGATCGGGAGGCTAGTGGCTTGAGATCTGGATTCCCAGATGCTATATCTAAAGTATTCACTGACTTAAATGTTGGTAACTTACATCAATTCTACAATAACCGAGTGGTGAAGTATCACTCTAAAATTAAGAAAAAGTGTGAAGATTTACGGGAGCAGTGTGAAGCACTGGCTATTGGTGATATAGCCCCTCAGCTAAAATTGGAAGAAGTACCGGAGTTACATTTTCCTGCAGCATTGGATGGAGCATTCACACCATCATTAGAGCCTGGGTTTCAAATGTTGCACAGCCTTGAACAGGAGCAGTTACAGGGCTTAGATCTTCTAGACACAGTCACAACAGATGATATTAAAATGGAACCAATGGAGTTCTCACAACCTGAAAGTACTAAATTGCCATCTTTATCACCTAGTGCAAAGAAAAAAAGAAAATAGAAACTTGGTTTATAAATATTTTGTTTTAATGCCTCTGTGAAAAATATTAGACCTTTTATACGTCTGGTTTTCCCATTTCAATTTCAGTTTCCCTACTGCACATATAGTTTTTACAGTCAAACCAATTAAAGCCCTTGTTATCCTGTCTGATACCTGGTGGAATTTTATATTAAAATATATCATTGGATTTAGGCCCACTTGCACCACAGAAATTTGCAGTTTAATCATAGTTTGTTGTTAAATGACAATACAACTAAATCCCTTAGTACCAAAAATAGAAAGTAAATCAGGTAAAGAAAAGATGGAGACTGCACATAAGGTGGGAGCTGGGACAATTCTCACTAATTACTAATGAAATTACAAAAAATCAAGATTGTATGTTTACATAAATTTAGGGTTTCGTACATAAATATTTAAGGACCTCCCCTTAAATATTTATTTTTCATACAACAGGCATGATTTGCGGTTCTTTTTTGCTCAATATTATATTTAATTACAATTTTATTACAATACAAAAAACATTGTTTAAACTGAAATGTTTGATCTGTGTTTATAATCCCACTGTTAGATACAGAAAGTTTTACCTAACTATAATCTGTTCAGGGAAACAAATGAGTGCTTTTATTAAGTTTTTTCATAACACTAAGACTTACATATAGCTTACAAATGCTAAGAATGGTGACATTTTTATCGATATTAAATAAAAAATCACGCCTGTGTGTGTGAATACACTATCTGAGCTCACACTGGCGCAGTCAAAGCGTCACGTCGCGTCAGGTTTTTAGCCTTGGGAATACCTTAACTGTGGGGAAATAGAGATGAATTTGCTGCAGACAAAAAACATGAAATTCGGTATTAAGAAGTCGCGCGTCGTATAAGTGGGAATACCTTTTACCTGCTATAGTAGTTAAAGCCTCTAGTTATCACACACACGTCCACCCTCCCGACCTGCATTCGTAGGTCCCTCCGATTACGTCGGCCTAGGCACGTTTTACAGTACCCCGACGAAGAAATCACCCGTGCCAAAGCGCCTCCTACTCTCCCACACAGGCCACAAACACCAACACTACACAGCTAGCACATCAGCTTAGCATTGGGCAGACACTACACCCGTAGGATAAGAGTGCGAAGGTCTACACACGACACGCTGTACCAGGTACAGGTACGTAACTTGGCGTTCTTCCCCGCCCTCACGACAACGGCTCACTAAAGCAGAGGTCCGAGTCTCAGAGACTAGCCGCCTAGTTGAGCCGACCCCCTCAGGTTCGAGTGGTCTAGAGGCTCCAGACGGAGAGGAGGGATGATCTCCTAACGGGCCATCCAGATGCCATCCGCCTGGAATACCTCTAGGGGCACTCGCAAATTCTCGGCTCAAGGTATTTAGGATATCGCCGTCCCCAAACCCGGTGACGCTCTAAAGGTCATATGCGACCAACAGCATTCACACTAAAAAAAAGAATTTGCTACAGGCAAAACGCGTCGCGTCGTTTCTACTGCGCCAGTGTGAGTTGAGCCTAATAGTGTCTAATATTGTTTAAATAATAGTACGATTGCGACTCGCACTTGGCAGGTTTTTTAAACTAGACTTACAAAGCATCCACCATATTTAAAACAAAATTATTATTTTTTATCCTACCTGTGTATACATGGAAACTGTGAAGTTAACTGAAGTCTCGGCGCAGTAAATGAAATATGGTGTGAAATAGCTCGCACACGCGTGCGGGCTATTACCCCAAGCGCACCTCTTGGCGGGTTGTGTTTGCCAGTGTGTCTACGGGCAATTCATTTTTACCATTGTCCCACTGCATTAAGTGGTAAATATTAATTTGAAACTTAGCTATTTTGTGGTGCAAGTGTAACCGTGTTAAGATATCTTTCTCATCATCATCCTTAGCAAAATTACCATGTTGATAGGGTTTTACTGAAGTGAAACTGCGCAAGTTACGACGCAGGTTATGCTTGCTTGCTGCTAAATTCACTACCGACCGCCATATCATATATATAGTTTTAAACGCCCCATAAGTGCGATTCAAACTTTGAGCTTACGTGTCACTTAATTAAAAGGAGAAATAAAATAATTGTTTAACATAGCACCAAATAATTTATTAAAATCAGATTGTTAAAAATATAAACCAGATTAATGACATCATGACATCCAAATTGATTATTATTATTATTTACAGTAACAGCCTGAAAACAAAACTTATAACATACATTATATGGAAATTAGAATATGTTCAATTATTATGAGTATACGATAAGAAATAGAATAAAAACATTTGTTTTTAACTAAAATGTATGATTGTTTTTCATAATCCTAGCAGGGGGATTATAGAAAGTTATAACTGTAGTCTGTTCAGGGGAACAAATGCGTGTTTTTTTTTATCACACTATGGCTTAAATATTGCTTACAAATGCCAAGAATAGTAAACTGAGTCACATGGGAGAGATGACTGTCATTGACAAAAATAATGACAACATTAACAATCCTAACAGTGATAAAAAAACTTTGCTTTCATCAATAGGTTCCATTTAATGAATATGAACCATAAAAAATTGCCAGTGCTGTAATTCATTAGTTTCAAACAAATTGCATGGTTGTCAAGACACAATCAACATCTATTGCTATAGCAAAGAAAGTTACATTGAGTGTACAGCCACATGTAATTGTCTCCAAACAAACATTACAATGATAGTGTGTTTATGAACATCACCTTACACTATAAGGCAAATCTGTGACAGGGATTCCTTATGATACTATGATATTACCTCATGTATCTTGCGATATCATTGCATTTAAACAGACACCTCAGAAGAGTGTAACTAAAATCTCTATATTTGTTGTGTGTGGGATTGGAACCTCAACATTAGAGAAGCAAAAATAAAATTTGAAAGGACTTAAAACACTACTAAAGTTAAAATCGCATTGCTTGGTACAATGCTGGTACATTTTGCTTCATTGAAACTGAACTTTTATCAATGAGTCTCTTGCTAGAAGACACCGACTTTTTTGTTTTACAAATTAACATGAAAATGTAAGTCTTATGAATTAATGACTAATTTAAATCAAACTTAAGTGGTAAGGAATGAATTCAATAAGCCCATTAAAGGCATGGTTTTAGAAGACCATACCAGCTGCCACTATGTGTAATAACAAAATCACTTTTCAAGCACTTTAATAATAGATTTTGGTGAACAAAAAAGCTATGATAGAAAATTGAATGTATACCCTACAATAATAAGGATGATGACTTACTTTTTCTTCGTCCATCAGGTAGATATTATCAAGAGTATTGAACACATAAAATATCATAACAATATGAAAATATTACAAAGGATATTAATTTGAAATGTTGCATGACGTCACGCCTTGGTACAATTTTTGCTCGGAAGTGACGTCACCAGCCCCCACTCCCAAACTTTGACATACTTTTATCTTAGTAATTTTTTGGTTGGTTGACAAAAGAAAAAATAAGTGCTCATAATTTTTTTATAATCTAACTGACGGACTACACATAATTTTGTTGACTTTATCCAGTCATCATCCCTATTCTATTGAGCTGTCATGGGCTTAACTAACCCTATTACTTAACTTACAACTATCCTGCAAATTTACAACTTTGAAATATCACATATCTTTACTTCTTTTCAGGTTGAGTGGTTTTCTTTCTTCTGAACAACAAAATATGAGGTTCTGAAAATAAAAATATATAAATTACATAAATGTTAACTTTTAGGATGTTTGTTTTATAGAAGACCTTGCAAACAACTACACACAACCTGATACTAAGCATCAGTGTAGTGCAAGTACCAAGGGCTGTAAATACATGTAGTATGAAAAATTACCAGGAAAAGAATAACAAACATCACTATGATTTATACATTATTTTAAACAGACTTTATCAAATTAATCTTTTTAATATCCAGTTTCAGAAAAGTAAAATCTTTGCAAATACATTACACGTAAGGAATAATTTGTTCCTATTGATGTTACTCTTTTATATATCTATATGCATAGCCATGTAAAAATGTTCATAATTAAACATACCAGGTTGATGTGTCATGTAGTGAACCCATCCTTGGCTCTGCTGAACTCCTATGTTCCTCCATTCGTCTTCAGACATGAGGTGATTCTTCGGTACCAATTTAACCAATTCCTTGGGCAACACAACATGCCTAAAAGAACAATACAGTTGTGAAATTTGATTTACTTGCTCTAATAATGTGCACAGGCGGTTGTGATGTAAAAATGTTATTTGTGTCGACACAAAGACTTTATCGAAATTCAAACATCAAAATACAATGTGATTCACTATGAGGAGGAAATTGTTTAATAAACTATCAAAGTACTCAATTCTGGTTAATGTTTTATGGGAAACGGAATATTTAATGTAAATCCAATAAGTAATTTACCTGTATTCATGTTCTTCATCATAGTATTTCTCTGAATAGTAAATTTCTCTAGTTGACATAATGAATTTATTCAACCTATTGACACAGTTTTTTTACCTTTCTGGGTTATTGTGCTATGATAATGACGAACTGTTTGAGACGGAAAGATAGAAATAGTCACAAAATGCAAATCCTTTTCAATAAATTTACACTCTTTTCGAACTCGTTTCTTGAAGAAACGTTGGAAATTTCAAAATTCGAACATACGCTACGAAAAAATTGCCAGGGCAAAAATTGTATTTCGAGTTTAGTCTATGGTTTAGGCTGGGCACACATGAATTCGAGCCGCGATAACTGCAGAGTGAATAATCTGGTCACACCAAAAAAACGATCTGGCAGGGAATTTTGGGCAGGATTTCATCGAGTGCAGTTGGCGGTAGTTTTCCAATTACAGAGCATAATGCGACTCAGTGACGCACAATGCCGGATTATGTTGATGCTTAATTGGAACGTGAATTAGTTTTCAAATGCGCCAGCAGAGTGCGCTTAGTTCAGTGTTGAAAAAAAAAAGTCAATGTTTGTACCTTCAACCATACTTATATTTTTTTTTTAACACAGTATGAATTAACTTTGATTATTTAAAAAAAAACTACAGTGAAACGAAAGCTTTAAAATTTTTTCAACAATAAATAATATTACTAATGATAATATATAACTAAATAAAACGTTTCGATCAATGCCAACTTGAAGAAAAAACACTTGTTAATTTTCTGTCACTGAGTTAGTACGATTACACGCATCACACGAAAACATTACTTTTGAGAGTGCTCGATTGTGCGAAGCGTTGCTGTAGTTGAAACATTCAACAATAAGCATAATGCGCTCTAGTGCTGTAATTGGAAAACTATCGGCGACTTATTTCAATTATTCTTAAATTCGTTCTTAGTGAACATTGTAAAATAAAATTGGTGTGATTTTATGTAACAGCTGCGCAATTGAATAATTAGTGGAATCTTTAAAATATACGCTATTCCGGTCAAGTGGGCATAAGAACTTTATTGTAGTGTTGACTATCTCACAGTAGCCTATCGAAATAACCAACTCGATATATTTCGTGCCAAACACTCCAAAAAATATTAGAATGCGTCACACAGACATTCTAATGTAAAAAAAAAGGATTAAGATATGTATTTATGTATATGATTGCAGTTTTGAGGATTTAAAATGATTAACATTAATAATATTATGGCACCATTTTTATTAGCAGAGCAGACCAGAGAGAGCTAGACAACAAAAGTCATACATAGAGTCCTTTTCATGAAAGAAGTCCCGCGGTGATTTGTGGAACTAAATTTGACAGATCGGCCATGTTGTCGTTCATCGATGTTATAAAGTTCGTTTGTTGTGGTAGATTTTTGTAAGTTTTTAATTCAATGAGTGCGTTTTTTGGTGTGTTCACAATGCCAAAAGTTGTAAAAAGTTCGGCTCGAGAAATGATACTAAAAGTGAAAGAGTTCTGTGAAGCGGAACAAAAGAACCAAGGTGTTCTAATACCACTAAACAATGTTCGCAAGAGAGTCGCCGCCATAACAGGTACTTTTTTAGAGTTGCCATATTATGAATTATTGCCGTATTGATTGGAGTTTTATTAAATGAACTTTTTTTTATTCCAAAGACAAATTTTAACAAGTAAATAACACGTGATGAAGCTGGGTAACTTAAATTTAAAAATGTAATCTATACATATAATAATAACGAAATAAAATAGGTATTTTAAACTTATAATTACTTATTATTATAAATTCATTCAATTCATAATTTAATTGCAGGTGTGTCAGAGAAAACTGTAACAAGAATCACAAAAGAAGGTATCACAGCGGCGAGTTCTTCGAAAAAATTGTCACCCCGGGGAAGAGTCGCCCGCATCCGAAAAAGTTCGACTTGGATTTGTGCGCCATCCGGCAAAAAATTCACAGTTTTTATGTTGTGAAGAAGGAATTACCTACATTGGGTAAATTACGGGCCGCTTTGAAAGAAGACATCAATTTTCAGGGAAGCATTACAACATTGCACAGAATATTAAATAGGATTGGTTTCAAGTACAAGCGATGCCAATCCAAACGTAAACTACTTATGGAACGTCATGAAATTACCGCATGGCGTGCAAGATATTTGGATAAAATACGAAGAAATCGCACTGTGGAAAAAAGACCTATCGTATACTTAGATGAGACCTATATACACAATACTTATCATACAAAAAGTTGTTGGCAAAGTGAGGAGGAGCCAGGAATGTTCGTCTCAGAGTCATCGGGGAGTCGATGGATCATTAAAACTTTGAATAAATTTATATAGTTGAATAGTTATGATCAGCGGTCATACTAATATCACTGTCCGAAGAATGGATGGAAACAGAATCAGATTCTGTTTCACTATCACTAGCCGTTGATATGATCATTCGGTCCATTTCTTCATCCATAAGGCCGGCATTTTTTAAATATTGCTCCTCCAAATGTTCCACATGCTTGCACTGAGCTGTCCAATCTTCCTCCGTAATAGACTCAAAGGCCTCTTCAGTTATTCTTACTATTTCTTTTGGATTTTGGGCCACGTTCTTATCTGCCACCTTTCTTTTTACAAGGCTCCAGATTTTTTCAATCGGGTTGAGGTCGCAGTGGTAAGGCGGCAATTTAAGCACTTTATGGTTGTAAGCTTTCAATAATTCATCCACAGCATATGTTGGTGGACCTTTATTTTGTTTGATTAGCTCAAGCAGCACAGCTTTTGTCCAGGTGTCTTCAAAATATACTCCCTTTTCTCGAAGCCATTCCTGCATTTTACTTTTGATACTCGACATTGTAGGTGTTGATTATATTGAATAAAAGACTGTTCTCGAAGCCATTCCTGCATTTTACTTTTGATACTCGACATTGTAGGTGTTGATTATATTGAATAAAAGAATAATTTCCAGTATTTTCTTGTATTTTGTTTAACATAGGTTTTAAAATTATAATCAATCAAAATATCACTATGACAACGTATGTATCAAAATCTACCATAAAGTAAAAAAAGGAGGTTGTGGTTGAGGTTGTATTCAGGTTCGTAACATGACTTCTTTCATGAAAAGGACTCTACCTAAATACTTATTCGGGAAATATGTATATTTTTTCCCCATAACTGGCAACATTATGTCGCGCGAATACAGCGCTGCGTCTGGGGGACTTCTTTCATGAAAAGGACTTTTACACTAGAATACATATGTGCAAACATACACTAGAACTTTAACATGAAGGACTTGTGTCTTTGGTTATGAATAATTAAAAAAATGATCTGGCAGCCGTTTTTTTTAAGATTCTCCCGTTTTAGGGAAAGCAAAGGGAACAATGCCCATACAGGCTAACCTTATAATCTTTTTCTTTCTACATTAGAATGTCGGTATGACGCATTCTAAAGCGACCTACTGACATCCCTGCCGCAGGGGCAATCTAGGATGCACGGCGGTCGGGCCAATATCGGCTTGTCTCTACACACATGCCTGCTTTTCAGTGTTCGGGGGTATGTTGAGCTAAACACACGCGTTGATGATGGCCCCCGTGTTATCAAAAACTCAGAAGATCGGTAAGTAGGGCCTTGCCCGCACCCTTCGCTATCCGGCCGAATGCACTGACCAATTATGCTACCGAGGCCCTGACGGCCGTATCGAATTCTTTCTAGCCTTTCTTAAGCTGCAAGGCAGCGCCATCTCTTCGCATTGTAGTTAACCCAGAATGTCAAATGAATACCTTTACAAATATTACACATTTGAAAGAAGAAATAGCAAAACTGCTCGATGTTTGAAGCTAATGAAAATATTACAAGAAAAAGATTAAAAAAAAACTATTTCTATTTTTCTAGTAATATTTGCTTTACATTTAAACATCGAGCAGTTACATGCCAAAACCACCAGCCAATCAGCACTGGGTGCATTATGACCCACCAATCCGCGTTGGGTTCGTTATCACCCACCAATCCGCGTTAGGTTCGTTATCACCCACCAATCCGCACTGGGTCAGTTATCACCCACCAACCCGCACTGGTCAGTTATCATCCACCTATCCGCACTTACTCCGTTATTACCCACCAATCCGCACCGGCTCCATCATCACCCACCAATCCGCGTTGGGTCCGTTATCACCACTAATCCGCACTGGGTCCGTTTCATCCACCAATCCGCACTGGGTCCGTTATTACCCACCAATCTGCACTGGGTCCATTGTCACCCTTAAATCCGCGCTGGGTCCGTTATCACCCACCAATCCACACTGGGTCCATTATCACCCACCAATCCGCACTGGGGCCGTTATCACCCACCAATCCGCGCTGGGTCCGTTATCAGCCACCAAGCACTAGATTCATGTATTTTGTGATGAGTATAAATTGTTCATTGTTTACCAATGAGTCACCGTTACTCCCGTAACGCAAAAATCGTTCAGTTTACCCCCCAAGTCAAGCGTGCCTAAAGAAGTTTCACTTCAAAAATATGTAAATAATGGTGTCGATTCTGGTATAATTATCTAAAGCTAAACTTAAATTTGACAACAATGTATCTTTGTCATTCTCTATACAGAATGAAAAGGAGAGACTGATGTTAAATTTAGTTTTAAGTTTAGAGAATCACGCCAGAATTGGCATCATTGTTGGTTTTTTCTAACCCACATGTGGGGTCGGTATTTAAATACTTCTATCACTCGAGAGCATACTTCATGCTCATTAGTATCGGCCGCCACCTTGATCGAAATACGTGCTCTCCGTGTGACAGTTACCAACCAACTGATAGAGAAATTGCCCTGATCGCGCTACACACGCAGCAACGTGCAGGGCGGCAGGGACAAACTAGGGACCAAGGGTGGTCTCGCGCTCCTGCCTGATCGGGCAAATCAATGCCCGATTTAGAAAATTGCCCCTGCTTGGCTACACGCATCACAATTAAGGAGGCAATGATGTCGATTCTGGCATGATTCTCTAAAGCTAAACTTAAATTTGAGAACAGTGCATCCTTGTCATTCTCTATACAGAATGAAAAGGAGAGACTGATGTTAAA